CTTTTCCTTTAATATTAAGGAAAAAGAGGAAGGATATGGCTTAAAATGGAACTGTAAAAGTAGATGAAGTGTTCTCGGGCTTAGCGATGATGTGGAAACCATTTGTAACTTATCTGATTTTGAACACATGTAGGAGAGAAAAAAATAGAGAACAGGAAGAGAACCACAATTGCCAACATGTGCAAAATACGTAGGATGGTAAGAAAAACCTTACCAGTGGAAGCAATGTCCTTAGGTCCCTCTGCTCCATTTCTAAAAATAAGAGAGAATACACAGAAACAATGGGTGGATTAATTAACTACTGGAGGGTGTGCTTGATGGGCACGTTTTCAACATGTGATTGTAGACTGTCCCGCCCCAAAAAATAAATAAGCCCAAACTGTACATTTTCACACCGGTCCATCTTCCCCATCCCTACTGCCTGCTTCCTGGGCTGGGTGGCTTCGTGCCAATATTGTTGCTGAGACTGTCACTGTTGGACACAGAACTGAACTGAGTGCCCTGTTCTGCCAGAACCAGACTTGATTGACTGTATTGGTTGAGTTCATGGAAAGCTGATAGCAGTTAACTTTTTGGAGGATTGTAGACAAAAAGGACTCAAATTAACGGGCATAACTTTTATTGTGTGTGCAATACAGCAGGGGGGGGTGGCAGTGTGCAGGTCGCACCGTGATTGTCATTGTTTCTTTGATTAAGGCACTAGGAGAACTAGGTGGTATCAAATAAACCAAACCAAGGAGACACAGGAATCAGAGAAGTGTTAAGGGGATTTACCGTGGCGTGCGGAGCTGGAGCAGGACTTTGGGGTGCTTTCCCAAGGAGGGGAAGAGCAGAAGTCATGATTTTAATGTCAGACGGCCACAGATTCCGGGGCACAAAGACCTGGAGGTGCGTGAGGGATGAAGGGGGCTGCGGCGGGGAGGCCAAAGCGAGGGCCGCAGGTGCAGCTCGGCACAGCTGGCTGCCGCCTGGGCACGTGGGTCCCATGGGGGCGCTTGGAGCGCGCCCTGTGGCCACCCCAGCGCGCGGAGCGGCCCGGGCTCCGGGCCCGGCGCTGCGTGTCACGGTGCCGCTCGGGTGACACTCACCCCCGCTCCCTCAGGCGCGGCGACGCCATCTTGTTTACCCGCGGGTGGCGCGGGG